ATTGACGGAAGTGTGATCCACACAAGCCGACAGGAGCAGATTGACTCGTTTAACAACGATCCCGACACCAAGATCTTCCTGCTCTCCACCCGCGCAGGCGGTCAAGGCATCAACCTCACCGCTGCCGATACCGTCATCCTCTTCGATTCGGACTGGAACCCCCAGCAAGACCTGCAAGCACAGGATCGCTGCCATCGCATCGGCCAGACCCGGCCCGTCATCATCTACCGTCTCGCTACAAAGGGCACGGTCGAGGAGCAACTTCTCATGAGCGCCGACGCCAAGCGCCGCCTGGAGAAACTTGTCATCAAGAAGGGAGGATTCAAGACTCTCGGCCAGAAGATGGACAACGAAGAGGGTCTCGATGAGGAGACGCTCAAGTCGCTTCTGCTGGCTGATGGCGAGGTCTACAAGCACTCTGGAGGTGACCAGATTCTCAGCGATCAGGACCTGGAGGTCATTTGTGATCGGTACGTCACCCTAACATTCTTCTGCAAAACCATGGCTAATACATTTCACAGCTCCGACGAAGCCTATGCCCGCGCGGCCAAGGGCCAGGGCGACGCCGAAGCCTTCAAGATTGTCGAGACCGCCGCCAATGGCATTCTGTCGACCGCCTCGAAGAAGTAGACTCGGCTGTATCGCCGACCTTTGCGATACTTTCGACAAACACAATCGCTTTCACGAATCTGACCCGACGGACTCGGGATGCCGAACAAGGATTTCTGTACTCTGGCCATGAATGGTCTTGTTGTTCTTTGGCCAATGGCCCTGTTAGCGTGGATAGCTGGATGGGTTTCGGACTTGAATTTTGCTTTGCTGGATTGGCTGATACCCTGCGACAAAATGGACAGGCGTTTGTAGCTTATTTGGCTTTGATAGACTGGACACAGTGAAGAAGAACTGTTCTGTTCTGCGAATCTTGCATCAAGACACCCAGCTGCCTTTCGTGACATGGATGAACAAAGGGCGGCCTCGCCCCGGCTCGGAGTGGACTTGAGCACATCTTCAAAGGCAGCGTGCTCAACAGCTGGGACAGGAGCCTTTGCCGAACAGTCGACCGATATGTGCCAGTCGCTGGGCGTTCCCTATTATAAGGGAATGGGAGCCAAATGGGAAATGGATAGAGAACAACAGTTTCGGAGCAGCGACAAAATATATCAGAACTATTATCAGAGCATCACCATCGACAGTATAGCAACACAACCAACAAGTCTCATTATTCACATCCGAGCATTGCTAGTAACATCCGAGGATCGACATTGGCATCACCAACATCGAGCATGGCCAGAAGAAACCAACCACGCCGCAGCGGGCGAGGTAAAGGCGTAAGCTTTGTTAACCAGATGTACGGCGCCGCGGACCGGAAACTCTCGGCACTAGACGACGACGGCTGGCCTCGCTCTGATTCCTTCCGACGACAGGGCAGACAACCTGTTCCGCCGCCCCGGCTTCATTTGCGATCTGCAGCCGCCCAGGCCGCGTGGTGGGCGTCACAAGACAATCCAGGAGCCGCTCCAAACGGACCTCCAGTCGCGCCTCCAGTCGCACCTCCAGTCGGACCTGCAGTTGCGCCTCCAGTCGGACCTGCAGTTGCGCCTCCAGTCGTGCCTCTAGTTGCACCTCCAGTCGGTCCTGTAGTCGCACCTCCAGTTGCACCTCCAGTCGGACCTGCAGTTGCGCCTCCAGTCGTGCATCCAGTTGCACCTCCAGTCGGTCCTGTGGTCGCACCCCCAGTCGGACCTGCAGTCGCACCTCCAGTCGCTCCAGTTGTGCCTCCAGTTCCAGTCGGACCTGCAGTCGCACCTCCAGTCGTGCCTCCAGTCGGACCTGCAGTTGCGCCTCCAGTCATGCCTCCAGTCGCTCCAGTTGTGCCTCCAGTCGCTTCAATTGTGCCTCCAGTTCCAGTCGCGCCTCCAGCCGCGCCTCCAATTAGGCCTGCAGGCAAGAAGGGAGGCAAGAAAGGAAGTAAGAAAGGAGGAAAGAAGAGAGGCAAGAAGGCCGGACACGACAACGAGTCTGAAGACGAGTCTGAAGGTGGCTCTGGGGGAGACGACCATCAGAAAAAGGGGAACAATGGGAACGAAGGCGGCGGCGATAGTCCTGGTGCAACGCCGTCCCCTAACGGGTATGTCCCCAGCGATACCGAAGAAGATGATGAGGACGGTAACGTCGACCCTATTACTGGCGCGCCGCTTCCAGACGACAACACACCACCGCAACTCCCCCCGGATCGCCCGACAGTAGAACCAGACCCAGACTCGGAGGACGACCAGGCCGGAGGCGGTAGCACGTCCAGCCCCGGGGTGAAGCCGGAGCCGAAGAGCACGTCGTCCGGCCGGCCCGTCAAAACAGAGGACGCAAGTGGAGGGACTGACAACGGCGGAAACGACGGCAGCAATGGCGGCGACAGCAATGGCGGCGGCGATGGCGATGGCAATGGCGGCAGCAGCTCGCCGCTCAGCTCGCCGCTTACCAGCGTCTGTGGAATTTCGCCCGGGAACACGCCCTCGCCCAGAACCGCCATGGCAAGTGTACCGCAACTGCCACAACAACCGCAGCAACAGCAGCAACAGCAGCAACCGCAGGACCTGGCGCCATATGTAGATCCTTTTGGGGGTTCCAGTGGGCCGAGCAACCCGAGGAGAGGGGGCAGTGAGGGAGGCGGAGGAGCTGGAAACGACGGCAGCGACGGCCCTTCTTCATCACGGCCTAGCAGCTCCGACATCAACAACCACCCCATGATGCCCAACTCTGCGACGCCGTCGTCCTCCTCTCCGTTGCCCTCTTCGAGTGGAGTGAGCATTTCCACCAGCGAGGCTCTCCGGGGCCTGCAAAACGCCTCGGCTACCACTGGAAGTGGCACCGAGAACGGGGGGAGCAGCGGGACTGAAGACTCGACCGGGGAGAATGGTGGCAGTTCCTCTACCCACCAAAACACACCGCGCAATATTAAACGCGGCGATGGCGGAGGCGAGAGCGATGATGCCAATGCCGGTAGGGAGAGCTCGAGCTCGGGCGAGGATAGGGTTATGTGTGTCCTTGGCAACGTGTATGGACCCGGACCGAACAAGAAGCGCCTTCGCGACGAGGACGAATTTTCCTCCGATGGCAGCCCTTCTGGTACGCCCTCCCCGAACAAGAAGGCCCGTCGCGATGACGACGACGAGAATGGTTCCCCTTCTTCCGATGGCGAATCTCCAAACACGCCCTCCCCCAGCAAGAAGCTCCGTCGCGATGATGACGACGAGAACGATTCCTCTTCTTCCTCTGGCGAGTCTCCAAACACGCCCTCCACGAACAAGAAGCGCCCTCGCGAAGATGACGACAACGACGACTCCTCCGACTCGGATGGCGGATCCTCTCATCCGCCCTCCCCCAACAAGAGGCCCCGTTGCGGTAGTGGGGACAGCGACTCCTCCTCCTCGTCCACCTCTTCTGACGATGACGATGTGGTCGTGACGGGATGGACGCGCAAGGGGAATAATCCCAGGCCCAAGTTCAAGATGTAAATCATCAGCCGGAGGTAAGGTGCTTCTCCATGTGGCTGGAAGAGCGCAAGTCCAGACCGGGGTGTTGATCATGTCTTGTCAAGACGGCTGGCCGTCAATTTCGGGAAACTGGCTGGCGTTTCAATGTTTGGGAGTTTGGAGTTCGAAGACTTGTATATGTTCGTTAGACAGGGGAGTGGGACAAAGGCGTTTTTGTTTGGGCTTTTTCAAGACCAATGTAGTAATGGCATGATTTTTGCACACCATGATATCATCCTACCCGCTTCGTGACTGCCGAGGCCCTTCCCAGTGGTAGATGAAGCTGGCTCGGGCCTCAACCGAACATGTCGTCGTCCATATCGTCGTCATCGTCATTATCGTTACGACCCTCCTCCTCTTCGCGGCGATTCGCCTCAGAGCTTGCACCAATACGGCGCACACCCTCAATAACGCCAATGATGAATCCCCTGCTCTCCGCAAGTTCCATGGCGCCCACACCGCGAAGCTGCATGACGCCACCAACTCCATCGTCAAGGGCAGCCGTACTCTTCCTCATCTTGGCGGCGCGAATCTCTTGCAGGTCGCGCATGAGGGAGCGCACCTCGGAGAACGACGGGATATCATCGGCGGCATGTGCGAGAAGGAGCTCTGCTAGCTCGAACCAGTGATACGGCAGTGCAGAAGACGGCGCCTGGGCGGTACAGGAAGGCAGGAAAGGCGGAGAGAACTTGGCAGCAGCGCCGGTGGCGCGTCGAGCGTTGCCGAGAGCGTCGGCGCGTACGGGCGGCGGCGGTGGTGGGGAGAAGGCTTCTGGGTGGACGTGTTGTTCTTGGTGGATGATGTCGCGGAGGGAGTCGGGGTATAGCCAGGCAGGAGCGACGATGTTGGCGCGACGCTGTTTCTTGAGAAGGAGGGCGAGCCATAGTGGGATGTTGGAGCGGTATGGGGGTCGGAGTGGTGGTGTCGCGCCCTGCAAAAGGAAGTCAGAGATCAATTGAATACATGGAGGCTTTCGGGGAGGATCTCACGCTTAGGAGCTCTATACTGTCGAGACGCTGTCGAGGGACGACTGTGACCAGCTCCATCTCACAGAGGAACGCGACCTCGCTCGGCACAAGGCCCGGTGGGAGGGGTAGCGCCATGGTCGACAGTTGTGTGATGTGTAGTTCAGAGGCTTGAAGCGTCGAGAGCAGTGGGTTGATTCCGTGGATTCTGGCGAAAGGCGAAGTCGTGGTCGAGGAGAGTTGTATGGCGGGGTAGAGCCTGGATAGTCGGCCGTCGAGTCGGTCGAGGATTTGGCGCCGAGTCCGTCGACCTTGACGCGGGGCAGTGGGCAGGAACGCGTCAAGTCTGCTGACATAATCGACGCGCCCCTTTTCAAATCCCCATCAATCACCACGTCACATGCGGCGTAGATTAGTAGAGGCAAAAAGTCAAAAAGACCACCTCCGGGCACCCTGCTATGCAAGGATCCGAAGGGGTAGAAAATCCCACGATGTCTGGGGATTTTGCTGGGCCTGGGAATTGAACCCAGGTATAGGGCGCGAACGGTGGAAGAGGGTTGTTTAATGGTGTCTTGGTCCACTGACTTAACCAGCTCGGCCACCGCGGCCCCGTTGGAATAGGCAGGAAGGGTTGCTCCCTATAAGGCCAGAACACTCACGGGGAGGCAGGCACGCATATGGGTCTACGTGGACGTTAATCACACGCAGGCATGCAGGATAACAACAAGACAAAATCTGCATTGGGGGGTATAAGCGCACGCAGCTAAACGACACCTCATAGAGCCAGCCTAACGAAATAGCCTCCTCTATGCACCCGCGATGTGCAAGTCTCTCCCTGGGGAGTGGTCTCCATGTAAAAACAAACGCAATGCAGCGCCAAACGGCCAACTGCCAACAACAATGTCCACACCTCTACACCATATCGTGTCATCCCTTTCCCTCTCAAGCCTCCGCCATGAGCTGCTCGCCCTCATCCAGCATATCCATCACCTTCTTCAGATTGCCAATCAGGCTGCGGCCGAGGCCAACAAGCAGCAGCTTCTCTGCATTCGCAGGCAGACCCAGGTATGTAGGCGGCTCGCGCTCGGGCAGCTTGTGGATCCAGCCCATGAAGTCCTGCATCGACGTGCCCGAGGGCACCACGAGACTTCCCTCTTCCGCCCCCTCAGGGCCCTGAACAAGCTTGTGTCCAATATCGTACGCGGCGGGCGTGAGGAACGTCTCGACCAGGCTGTTGAGTTGCTTGAAGTCGCCTTCGTTGTCGATCTTGCCGCCGTATGTCTCGGTCACAAGGTACCGGATCATATCCCAGGGGATGCTCTGCGGGTTGATGTTGGTACGTGTACCCGCTGCGTTCTCGACCCACGTGTCAATGATGAACGCAGAGCATTCGTACTAGAAGATTCAGTCAGTAAAAGATCATGCAACTCAGGGAAGGGCATACTTACATCAGCATCGTTGAATTCCCAGAATCCCTTCCAGCCCAAGCTTGGGGCGTAACGCAGTCGCTCCTGAACGACAGCGTGCAGGAAACTCAGGAGCAGGTAGAGCCTTGTGCGCTCGACGGGGCTCTTGCCCGCCCGCGTCGACAGCGAGGACATGGAATCCTTCATGTTGGCCTTGACACCCGCGGGCTGCTCGTACATGAGAACGCGCGACGCGCGGAGCAGGTTGACCGGGATCTTGGGGCTCGACTCCATGGACAGGAACAGCCTAAAGTCCGAGTGGGGGTTGAGCGCCTCCATGCGCTTCTCGAGACTCTGAAGCCATGTGGGCGCCAGATGGACGTTCTTGACCAGCACCCACGAGCCCACCTGTGCGGCGTTGCTGATGGCCTTGTCGGCGCTTGCCAGACCCTCGTTGGATCCCATGGCAATGTTGGTGCACCTGACCTGCATCCGCTCGACGAGATTGTCGACCTTGTAGCTGGCGTCGAAGCCGGGGTTGGACACGAGCGAAATGGGCCGCGTCGCTGGCACCTGGGTGACTGTCTCCTTAAGATCCTCCACCACATCGGTCAGGTCGGGGCCGAACACCAGCGTCACGAAGCGCTCTGCCGCAGGAACGAATCGGTCCAGACGGAACAGCTTCACCAGAAGGAGCGAAAGCAGAGCCTGGTCATTCTCGGACGTGTTGGCGTCCCAGATCTTGGGCACAAAGTTCTCCGCGAGTTCTTCCGTCAGGAACTTGTCCCAGTCCGCAGACGGGGCATTGTCGAGCTTGTCCTTGAGTGCGGTGAAGTGGGCAGCGCGGGCGAATGTCTCGTCCCTGGCATCGGGCTCGCTGGACAGGTCCTTGCCTTCGTTGCGCTTGTCGAGGATGACATCGATCAAGCTCTTGTCCATCGCGTACGGCGAGGCCTGGACGAGCAGCATGGCGAGAGTGATGCGATCCTTTTGCAGCACACCAAGCGACGTCCTCTTGTAGGCCAGAACAAACAGGTCCCTGACGATGACGTCCCGTCGAACGTTGTGGTTCGTCTCGTTGACAAGCTTGGGGTTTCCGTGCAGCACCGAGTGGAAGATGTCGAGGAAGTATTGAAGCGAGAACTGGTAGAAGTGGTTGAGGTAGTGCAGCTGCTCCAGCACCGCAAAGACGGTACTGCAGGATCGGGCAATGATGCTGTACTGGTTGGTGATTTCCTCCACCTCTGCCATGACGCCTTCGGTGTTGTTCATCTTGTCCGAAATCTCGGCCGCCTCGGTCTTGAGCGTCTCGAGCGTCTCGATGACATTGTCGTCGTCGAGGATGTTGCCCCTCGATTCGTTGAGGGCCTGGAGCAGACGCTTCTCGAGCTGGCGCAGGTGCACCTTGAACTCGCCCTGGAGCTTGATGAGGTTTGAGCGGCGCTCGTCGACGTCGGGCCGCTCCGACTTGAGCACGTCGTTGAGGGACTGTGTCTGCAGACTGCTCTGGGTGACGGTAAAGTTGACAAAGGTCGTGCGACTGCAAATATCGGGAGCAAAGGTGGCAGACGGATCCCGAGTGGAGAGGTACAGCTTGAAAGCGGGAGAGAAATCGATTTCCTGCTTTCCGAGCTGGATGAGCGTACGACCACCGGTCTTCTGGTACTCCTTGTTCAAGACATGGTTGAGAATAGGGTCGAGGTGCTCCGCATCCTGGATGAGAATGGGGTTTCCGAAACGGAGCGAACTCTCGAGCTGCTTGGTGAAGGAGTCGTCCAGGAAACTGGTGACAGTGAGGCGGCGCTCCTTGCTCTCCTTCTGGAGGAACTCGGTGATGCGGCCCGAGGGGTCGATGATGAGCGGGTAGCGGTTGTACCTCTTGAGAACGATGGCGTTCTCCGTGCACAGGTCGTCCACGGGCAGGCTGTTCTCCTGCCAGCCGAGACGCTCGTCGGCGGTGGACAGATATTCGGTAACCGGGTTGTGCTGCTTGAACTGGATGCCCGAGAGATGAAGCTGGTGCAGCCAGTCATCCATCATGGACTTGCGGAAGGTCTGATCATACAGACCGCTGTAGGCGAGGAACGCCGCGGCGACCAAGACGTCACCGACAAGCGTGCTGATCTGCGTCTCGAACGACTTGCTTCCCTCCTCCCAGCGGACCCTCTCCGAGGAAAGGCTGTCCAGAAGTCTGACACTGCGATCGACCTTGAACTTGACACGCTCCATCTCCGCCTTGATGGCCTGCGTCTCACTGATGAGCGCAGCGTACTCGGTCTTGTAGGTTGCAATGCTGGACTCCAGAGCGTTGATGGTGTTCTCGACAGCCTTGGCCTCTGCCTTGGTCTGCAGGGCCTGCTCCTCGAGCTGCTCGACCTCCTGCCTCAGAGGGCCGACACGGTCAAGGATCTCAGAGTACGTGACCTGGGCCTCAACCCACTGCACGAGCGGGCCACAGGCCTTACTGGCGCGGTTGACCTTCTCAAAGGTAAAGTCGGGGTTCGACAAGAATTCGTTGCGCATTTTGACGCGGAGGTTCTTGGTCATCATCTTGTCGTTGTTGAAGTTGACGATGCTGGCGATAAAGTCGTCCTTGCGCACAATCGACTGGATGCCCTTCCAATCGGGGACCTTGTGGCCCAGGAGGGCACAGACCGAGTCGAGAGCAAGCCTGACACCCGAAGGCGGGTTACCCATGGAACGAACTTCCGTAAGGTGCTGACGCTTGATGTTGCTGACACTGGCCTTGGCCTCTTCGACGGCAGGCTCGGCGCGGGCGAGATCCTCCAACACAATCTTCTTCCGCGAAGCAACTTCGGCTTCCTGCTTCTCGAGCGCGGCCTGGATCTCCAGAGAGGCATGCTTGCGCTGCTCAGCCTCGCGCTGGTCTGCAACCATGCGCTGCAGCTTCTCGTTGGCCTCGGCGTCCTTGTTCTCGAGCTGCGACTTCTTCTCCGCCAGGCTGACGCGTAGATCGCGGACCTTGTCGACGGTGTCGCGAAGCTTCTCGAGACCAACGTTGAGATGGCGCTGCTGCTCCTCGAGGTCCTCCCGCTTTTCGGTGTAGAGCTTGACATACTGATCGACAAAGTCGAGGAAGTGGCGAGGCGTGAGGAAGGTGACCTTGCCCTGCTGCTTGAGGAGCTTGGCGTTGAAGCGGTGCAGGGAGTAGTGGATGAACACCATGGAGTTGACGACGGCTTCGCGATGGGAAGGCGGCAGAGTAAGCGCGCGATAAGCAACGGGGATGGAGTCGGGCGCCTCAAAGTTGGTCCGGTCGAGATCGATGGAGCTCGTGAGCTCGCGGCCAACCTGGAAGAGGGCCTGATCGGACCAGTCACCGAACCAGTTGAGCACGCAACGGTTGAACAGGGCAGGACTGGTGGCAGCCTTGGATCCGAGGCCGTCCTCCGGAGGGTTCATGGTGAACACGACGTGGAGGTTCTTGACAATCTGCTGCGTGAACCACTTGTACAGCTCCTCTTGCGAGTCAAGGTGCAGGTTCTGTCGCTGAGCACCTTCCTTGCATGCGGTCATGAGGGCGGCAAAGTCATCGCCCTCAAAGAGGCCGGGAACCTCAGCGTTGGCGAGCAGGGTGTTCATCCTCTCCAGGAAACCGGAGTCGAGAACATTGGACTCGTCCATGATGAAGCAGATCTTCTCGCCCTTGCAGCCACATCTGCGCAGGACGTCCCTGAGATCATCGTCAAAGTCCTCAGCAGAGTATTTGCCGTGAACCTTGATCTGGAACACCTTGAGACCGTTCATCCAGGCGACGAAACGCGACAGCGTAGTCTTGCCACTGCCGCTAACACCGATGAGGATCAGATGACCCTGGGGCTGGCGGAACACACGATCGATGCGGAGAACGTGCTCGAGAACGTCGTTGAACAGAATGAGCGGCACATCGACCTCTTCCTCGCAGAATGTCTTGAGACGGGCCTTGACAAAGTCGCGAAGGGCCTCGCGGTCGACGGGGATGTAGTTCTTGGAAAGCCAGTTGGAGAACAGGATCGGGCCGCCAAGGGCCTCCTTCTCGTCGATGGTCGGGAAGAACTCCAGAGCGATCCTATGGACTGCGTCGTCCGTCCACTGGCGCTCATCCTCGGCGACGAGACGATCCTGGAAAAGACGCAGAGCCTCGTGGGCCCAGATGCGGATGAGACCTTCCAGCGACAGGTTCTCCAGAGGCCGGATGGCTT